GATCGCGAGCGCCACCTCTTTTGCTTTGGTGTCGGCATTGGTGGCCTCGATCACGAGATTCTTCAATTGAGCGGCCTCCTCAATGTAAAGCTTCATCCTCTTCACAGCCTCCTCCATGTCAAGCTTCTTCGTTTGGAGCTCTAGGTATATCTTCATTTGCTCGTCCTTCCCATTGCTCCTCCTCTCCTCCCCCACTTCCTTTTGACTCATCCTGCCTTCCAAAGTTGCTTGCAAGGCCATGGACGACGCATCACGCTTCTCGTCGGCCTTGGAGTTGGTCTTGCCCCACGGCCTCTTGAGCAAGTCTCCCTCCTTAGCCACGTTCGCCTTCCCTCCTTTCTTCTTACGAGCGGCATATTGGTCTTTGAACTTGGGACAATCTTTGACGAGCGACCAACAATGCGTAAGAGTAAAGAGCTTGTTCTTGTGTCAGACCTTGAAGGCTTTCAAAGATTGGAATGCCTACACAATCAAAGATGATGCCGCAATTGTAACATGAAAGGACACAAGATGCATGAAACATAAAGATGGCATGCAATGAAAAATAGGAGAGGTTCATACCAAGTCACCAACGCCTAGGACACTCTCAAGCACGGCACAATACTTGTTGCACTCTTGTTGGATGAACCCCACACCCCCCATCTCTTTTGGATTGAGTTGATGCCACGGGTGCTCGCAAATTGGTAGGGGGCAAACTTCCTTCGCTCATGACAGGTTTTGTGAAACCTCGTCCAAAAGACGGATCCTTTTTGCTTGGCACCTTTCATGGGATCTTGGCCTATCTCCATCCAAATCTCGCAAATAAAACTGTCCTCTTCTCGGGTGTATGATCCTGTGCAAATGCTTTGCCTCCTCCTTTGTGCCTCGGCCCTTTGGGTGAGCTCATCAATAAACACCAATGGCTCCTCCGCAATGTCGATCTCTTCTTCCTCATCTTCACAATACAAGTCATCATCTTCATGCCATGAGTTGCCATCATCGTCCATCGCATCTTCATCATGGCCACCGAATAAGTCGTCACCATACTGGCCGCAGTCGTCCTGGCTTTGGGTCTCGCGGGATCGAAAGCATGGCCTTGACTGTCGACGTTGAAGGCTCACCACGGCCCTCGAAGATGACGTTCTCCATGAAAGCGGCGTACTCAGGGTCGTCTACCGTTGGCGCCGGCAGTGGTATATCATCAAACAGCTTGCGGACGCCAGCAAGGTTGGTCGTAGGAATCGACTGAGGCTGCTTCCTTTGTGTCCCGTCGGACGGCTGGCCAGCGCCACTGTACTCCGGTGTCACGTTGAGGTCGATGACGCCCGTGGTCAGGATGGCGGGGGTGGCTGGCGCGACCACGTTGCCGTCCGGCAACGTGGAGAACTTGGTCTGGCCATGGCATGCAGCGGCTGCGCACGATACCCGGGCATCTCCGGTGTGACGGCCAACTCGGGGACCGGTACTACGGAGGACGAACGGGGACAAACTTGTGCAGGCCGTGGCCAGCGATCGAGAAAATGGCAGGCAGGGTCGACACAACCCTAACATGCGCCTTGGCGACGATGGACTCCTTGTCGTCGACTTCGGCATTATGTTGCGTGTCACACAACGCGGCCGCCTTGACGGCGTAGGCGGGAGCGGCTTTCTTCTCCGCCACCCTTGTCCGCCGGTTCCTCCTGTCAATTCGGCGTCGAGCTTGGCGAGCTCCGCCGGCATGAGGTCCGACCGTAGCTACTTGGGAACCTTATTCTTTGCCGCGGGGCTCGCGGCCGCGGCCAAGTCGCCAGCCATGGGGAGGTGGGCGCGGGAGGGATTTGGTGAAATGGAGGGAAAGTGGGCGTGTGTGTCCCTGACAGGCGGGCCAGAGAAGGACGAGGGCGCGCGTCCTGCCCATCCGAAAGTCCCAGCCATGGGGAGGTGGGCGCGGGAGGGATTTGGTGAAATGGAATGGAAGTGGGCGTGTGTGTCCCTGACAGGCGGGCCAGAGAAGGACTAGGGCGCGCGTCCTGCCCATCCGAAAGTTGTCCATTTCAACGCAAACATGGCCAAAATTTGGGCCAAAAATGGGTCAAAAGCGGATCAAAAACATACATTTGTCCGTTTGCTCCCATGCTTTAGGCCGCGTTTTGTGATGTTTACCTTCAAATGAACACGATCGGACCATTTGGGAACGCCTGTTGGAGTTGCCCTAATTTCTCCTTCGGCCAGCAGAAACAATATAAACAAATGCCCCGGAAAGCTGAACTGCTTATTTATTTATTTATTTATTTATTTATTTTTAAAACAAGGCAAAAGACTTGCCATTTTTATTGATTAAGAAGAAGAGAATTGCCCGGTTAATTAATGAAAAACCGGACTAAAACCAAAACTGCTTCTTTATCAAATTCCCACGTCAGAAACAGGATGGCAGCAACAAGGCACTTGCAGGCTCAAAGCCAATAATAAAGGATTACACATCTCAATATTTCGACCAATTCATCACAGGGATAGCAAAAATTAACAAATTATGTGAGCGAACAAGCATCAGGCAATCAATTCATCGACAGCAGCAACAACAAAAAATATACAGATCTCACAGGATGCAGCACGAAATGGTGGAAACATCGGCAGCAAGCATGGAAAAACGAGTCAAATGACATTATTTGCACTTCCCGTTTGGCTCCTTGGAGAGCAGGAAACAAGATGGTGCTATCTCACATCCACGTGCAACTGAAAGGACTCCCGTCACAAACCTACAGTTCACAACTCCCTCTAAGATTTTTACAAAAGCATTTCCTCTGCTGATCTTCGGAGGCTAAGATGCTGGCCTATGCTTTAAGTTAGGAGTAATCACTACGGCCGAATTTCCTACTTGATAACCCCCTAACTTGCTAGTTGACAACCAAACACCATACACATCTTGATTCAAAAAGATCCAGCTTATCCTACTACATCCCAGGGCAACAAGTTTACCAGAGCACAACCGTGCATGCAGGACTCGTCTTCCCGGGGAAGAATTGATGATCAGATCTTCAGATCTTTCTTGCAGTTATCTCTCAAGTCCTTTAACTTGACAACAGCTGAATGCTGCACAAAAAGGGATTAGAATATTAGCGCATGATCATATACTAACAATGCAATCAAGCAATGAAATACTCCAATGCAAAGGGAATATGCAGATATATAGTTGAAATAGTAGTGAACTGTTCTTCAAACAAAAAGAACAAAGTTGATCACAGAAGTACACTGTCATAACATAACAAGTCGCCACACAATCAAAACTAGGAATACATCAAATTCTCAGCAGGGAAGAAAATTTCTTTCAGGCAAGGTAGTGAATGCTACATAATTACCACAAATTTAAACTGAATTTCCGTGAAATAGGCTGGAAAAAGTTCAGCAAGGCTTGCAACGGCATATTTTAGCTCATATTTTTGTATGCTAGCCCTAAAGCTAGACCAAATGGCCCATGAGATTTTCAATGACAAAAGGAACAATGATCATCGCAGCCTGATGATGGTTGAATCTGAATACATTCAACTAACTTTGAAGGCCTTTTCTACATATTAGCAAGGCACAAGAGGCGCTAACTCACATTATCGAGCTATGCTACAAAATTTAATGATGTAAACAGACCTAGCACGACCACAACTAGAAGTCTAACAGAAATGTCTCCTCAGAATCTAGTACTTTGAAACAATAGATGATGATAGGTTTGAACAGGATCTCCTCTGAAGCTCAGCTCGACAAGCTCAGGAACCTTTGGACCAAGCTACAGGGGACTGAATTCCTCTAGGGACTCAGTTCATTGGAAGTGATATGCGAGCCAAGTATGTTCTATTCTGCCAAATCTGCACACAGTGCAGTGCTCGGGCTCTATTCCTCTTACTCAGAAGCACATGGCAAAGATTTGGAAGATCAAGACGGAAAACCAGGTCAAAAAAATTCTATGGCTGCTGCTCCAGAACAGGAATTGAACATTGAACAAACTTCGCACACATCTTGGCAACATCGGCCCATGTTGTTTGCTTATATGATCAAGTCCTGCAATATCCTGCTCATCTTGCACTGCAATGCCCCATCTCTAAGAGATGTGGCAGCACTTTGCTTCAGAAAGGCCTCAGATGACATTGTGCAATGCAAGCAAGATCAATAGGGC